GGCCCAGGCATCCTACAATTAACTTTATTTTATCATCAATATCACATGAGTTTTTTAATTGAATAATTGATCAAATTAAAGTTTTTTAAAATATAAATTAATTATAAAAAATATAATAAATATATTTTTAAGATATAAGTTAAAAATTCTCACGAAATTAATAAATTATGAAGACAAATTACAAAGTGACATAAAATAATAATAAAGAAAATAATATATTCCACACTTTCGGTCTCTCACAATAAATAAGATCCGATCAAAACAAAAAGCTAAAACTAATACTACATGTAAAGTGCTAAAAGACAAGTGAAATAAAACAATGGGATTTTTTTATTATGTGTCTTTAAAATATAGATTAAAATGGAGGGAGGGCTTGGAGTTAAAGAGTTGAGAAGTTTCAATCTCGCCTTGTTGGGCAAGTGGTGGAGCAGACTAGCAAGCGGGGTTAATGGGCCGTTATACAAGATCATTAAAGGAAAATATGGGAGTGGGTTCAAGAGAATAATCATAAAGGATCCAGCTGGTGGAGGAACATGTGTAAGATAGACCACATCGAACACAATAAAAGGGGATGGATCTCCGATGGGTTCAAATTAAAATTGGGAGATGGGAACACTGCAAGATTTTGGAAGGATGTGTGGATTGGGAACCAGTCTCTTGCTTTACAATTTCCTAGGCTGTTCCTAGTGTCTACAGGAAAGGATGATAGAATCAGTCAAATGGGCAGCTGGAGAGAAGGAACATGGAAATGGTCTGTTCAGTGGGGAAGGCAATTGTACGATTGGGAGAAGGATAATTGTACAGAGCTTCAGGCCTTACTGGACAATATACAACCTGCACAAGATCAGGATGACCGGTGGGAGTGGAAGCATGATAAAGATGGTGTGTATGTAGTTAAATCAGCATACAATCTTCTTGCAAGCAACACCGGTCATGGAAAGGCATGGATACACAAAAGGATTTGGTGCAGTTTAATCCCAACAAAGGTCAGTGCTTTCGCCTGGCAAGCCTTACAAGACAAAATTCCCACAAAAATCAACCTTTTTAGAAGGGGCATTTTAACTGATCCTAACCAAGTGCTATGTGGATTGTGTGGGGAAAGCACAGAAGATAGCAATCACCTGTTTATTCATTGCAGAGTATCTTGCTCGGTGTGGCACAAATGCTTGCAATGGTGGAGGATATCAACGGTCATGCCTAATACCTGCCAAGAAGCTTTCGAGCAACACCAATCTCCCTTTAAAGAAACTCCAGTGAGAGCAGGATGGGATGTGGTCTGGTCGGCATTTTTATGGTCCATATGGATGGCAAGAAACGGGAAGATATTTAGAAATTTTGAGTGTGAAGTCATCAGAATTTTTGAAATTGTTCAACTCAGAGCTTTCAATTGGATCAAAGGTAAAGCAAATGGGTACTCCTTCAACATGTACGAATGGATGCTGGAACCGGTATTGAGCTTAAAAGCCAAACGGAAGACTTAAATCGCTCTTTCAAGCGCGAAAATGCTCTGTTGGGAACTCTTTCAAGCCTGAACCTTTCTGAACCTCTGCTTGCAGCTAGAAGGTTCCGATAGGTTCAGATAACTGTGATGCTGGGTTTTCAGGTTTTGTAATTTGTACTAATAGCAGGGGTACCCATTGTACCCCATGAAATAAAAATCACTTTACTGTGCAAAAAAAAATATTTTTTTTTATAATTAATTTATATTAAAAGTATAAATATTAATTTTAATTTAATTAATTAAT